CCCACACCTGATTGGTCAGAACCCAGTCATGTGACCCCACCCACTGCAAGGGCGCCTGAGCCATGGAGGCTGATGGGTGAGGGAGACAGGACTCGGCAAACGCTGCTGTTATATAAGCACCACCTTATTTCACCTCCACATCAACACTGCAAGAGCAGCAGCACTTATGCTTACTCAGGGAAATTCAGTAAACTGCCCCAGATTCCCCCTGTTGCTGGATGGTGCATCAAGGTTAAAATCAGTCTTTAGACCTCCAAAACTCCAATTTTTGTGCTTCACCAAGCTATAAGAATTTCCTGAGTCCCATCTTAGGGTTCTTCGACTGCTCCACGCTGCTGTGTCAGCGTGTGAATAGTAGAAAGATACCCCCTCCCCAGCTTTGTAGCCAAAGATATGGCTATTCCCATATTCCCAAATTCTGGAGCTGAGTATACAGTAGCACAACCATCCTGGAGAGCAACCTGTTAATATCTATCAAAGTTACAAAGATGCATATTTTTGACCCAGCAATTACACTTTCAGGAATTTCTCTGACAGATAAACTTTCAAACGTGTACAGCTTTTTGGCACCAAGATATTTATCTCAATATTATCTTTAATAGCAAAAGAACTGCAAACAACAAAAAAGGGACCATGTAAAATAAATACTGAAATATCCATATAGCAAAATACTCTGCACCCATTAAAAACAATGCACTATTTCTACATGCCAACAGGCAAAATGGCTCACTTATAGGGATAAATGTACACAGACAATAATATATATGGGATGATCTTATTTATGCAAAATAAGCATGTATAAGCATATATTATACATATAAATATGTACATATTATGCATAGAGCATTGGAAAGGATTCCCCCAAAAAGTGTTAAAACTGGGTAATTTCAAAAAAATGTTTATTTAATAATCTTTGACTATTAATTTTTACAATAGACACAAGTTATTTATATAAATAAATAACCAATTTTTAAAAAATATGCTGCTAGAACTGTGCAATTGAATGCAATGTTCTGATTAAACCTAGTATCTGATCATTCTTGCAGATACAATGTGAAAACTATATTATATCTAAACTCACTCTGTTGATTGCTGAAAGTAATAGGACTTCCCGGCTTTGTCCTGGACTTGCTCAAAGCACAGGGTTTGGTGGATTAGCACAGCCTCAGGTCAGTCACACAGCTCACCCCGCTGTCCTCCAGCTTGACTACATCAAACTCACACTTGCCTTGAATGTTTTGAGGACAGCGCCGAAGCTGCCAAAAGCCCTGGGAACTTGACTTAAAAGAGCCCTAAAGTGAAAGTTGTGTCAGACTCTTTGTGAGCCCATGGACTATATTGTCCATGAAATTCTCTAGGCCAGAATCTGGAGTGGGTAGCCTTTTCTTTCTCCAGGGGACCTTCCCAACCCAGGGATCGAACCCAGGTGTCCCACATTGGAAGCAGATTCTTTACCAGCTGAGTCATAAGGGAAGCCCCAAAATACTGGGATGGGTAGACTATCCCTTCTCCAGGGGGATCTTCCCAACCCAGGAATTGAACTGGGGTCTCCTGCATTACATACAGATTCTTTACCAAGTGAGCTATCAGGAAAGCCCAAACCATCTATCAGTTCCAGGTGAAGGCTACACCCCAGCTGTCAAGGGGCAGTGACATGATGAAGCGGCTGGTGGGGAGGTTTGTTCTCCGCTGTGCCAAGTGGGCCCGGGGTGGGGAGGGGAGCTTGGAAGAATCTGTTGGTTTGGAAAACACTACACTGACCCCATGGTTGCAAAGGTCCTGACTCCAGTCTCATCATTATCACATGTGTCCTCCTCCGCCAAGCTCCCAATTAGCCCCGACCCTCATGTCTCATTACTTCACACTTGGATGATGGTACCAGGTTCCTGCTGACATCAAAGCATCTTCCCCACCACATTCCAGTGCACTCAGATTAATCACCACAGAACATGGTTTTAATCTTTTTTTTTTCCATTTATTTTTATTAGTTGGAGGCTAATTACTTTACAGTATTGTAGTGGTTTTTGCCATACATTGATATGAATCAGCCNCTGGAGTCCAGGGACAAGCCCAAGAACCCCGTGGTTGGCTGGGGCTGTGTGGCCGTTCTCTGCGGTCAGTGTGCACGCAGCTGTCCCCACAGGGTAGGCATGCACCATACACGTGACTCAGGACACTTACTTCTCTTACCCAGACTTTCTTCTGAGAATAACGAAAGTTGAGTAAAATAATCTGGCCAGAACACACTCCAGAGCATTTGTGTAGAAGCTACTCTTTTACCCTCCTGCATGTCCTCTGAAGCCTGGGTCTGGGTTCCTGAGTGAAGGTGTGCGGGGCCGTGGCTGAGGCCCTGCCTGTGGCTCTTGAAGGCCATGGCCAGCTGCTGTCTCTGCTTCTCTCCCTCCAGGGCTCCCGGGGCTGCCCCCCACCCGCCCCGCCCCCGGTGGAGCTCTGGACTGTTCTGCGCCTGGCCTGTTCTCTCCTCTCCTGCACACTAACCTTCCCATCTGAGCCATCCTAACCTCCCTCCCAGCAGCTTGGACTGCTCCCTGTCCTCCTCTCTCATCCCAGCGTCTCCAGTTTGTTCTCCTCAGGACACCATTTATGTTCTTCTCTCTCCTAGGAGGGCCCCCAAAGCCAGAGCCAGAGCAGGTGATCAGAAACTACACCGAAGAGCTGAAGACGGCCCCAGAGGAGGTGCGTGTCACGGGCCGCGCTGCTTTTGCTTTTGTTTGGTAATGGAGTGGCTCAGACGAGGCCTCCAGCCTGTCCTCTGCCAGAAGGTGCCTCATCCATAGACCAGTTCTGCCCCCCCCTGGCTGTGGGGAGGGCCGGCTGGGGTTCCTGCTTTTAACCCCATCGCGGCTTCACCTGACCCGGCTCTGCTGAGTCTCATTTCGGGGCTGTGATGCCACTGTTCTCCAGTTTGAATGAAGAGCCCTGGAGAGTCCTGAGGGGTGGATTCAGAGCTGAGGACTCTCTGGCCACCTTCTGCAAGTTGAGAACACAGGAAGCATCTGGTTGGTAAAGGTTTAGACAGAGACTTGCAAGTCCTTCTCACCTTGGGCCTCCCCTTCAGCCCGCCCCCTTCACAGGAGTCTGTCTGTCCATCTCTCTGCTCTTGTGCTCACCTGACACAGCTGGGCTGTTTGGCCCCTGGCTGCCTCCCCGCCAGCTGCTGATCACACAGCCAACATGTGGCCATGATGGTTTAGTATCCGCTGCTCATACCACCTGGCTGTTGAGATGGCCCCAGACTTTTCTTGAACCAGGGAGGGCTTCCTGGAGGTGGAGGCATCTTTTACTGGGCAGAAAGCCCACAGGAGTCTAAGCAGGAGGGTCACTTCTGCTTACCGTGATGTGTAAGACAAAGCCCAACCCCCGATGATGGCCTTCAGGGCCTCCCAGGACCTGGTCTCCTCCCCTTCGGTCTCCTGCCCCCAGGTCAGCCCTGTCCTGCAGGTGCACCACCCCCCAGCAGAAGCGCTGGCTCCTGCTTCAGAAGGCTCTCCTCTCTCCTGCCTGCCTGTTGCCGTGCATGTGCTTCTGACAGGTTCCCTTTCCCCTGGAAAGCCCAGCGCTGCGGGCCCCTCCCGTCCTTTCCTCTCTGCCGGGCTCTTCTGCCGCCCTCTCGGCCCGGGCTTCAGGCATCACAGCAGCCCCCAGACTTGGTGCTGCCTGCCATCCCCTCCTCTGAGGGTGCAGACAGCAGTGACCCCTCGGTGCTCCCAGCCTCCAGCACGGAGAGCTGTGGGGCTGACTTAGGTTGGGGTCCACCTTTTCCGTAGACGACGGCCGGTCCTCAGGACTCGCTCCTGTGGCGCAGGGGCCGTGGTGAGCCTCCCCATGTGGGGTCTCCCTCCAGGACTGCATCATCTGTATGGAGAAGCTGTCTGTGGTGTCTGGGTACAGCGATGTGACTGACAGCAAGACCATCGGGCCCATGGCCGTGGGCCGCTTGGCCAAGTGCAGCCACACCTTCCACCTGCTCTGCCTGCTGGCCATGTACTGCAATGGGAACAAGGTACCCATGGCCCCCAGGCCGGGAGGGCTCGGGGTCACCTGCCGGCAGCCCGTCCCAGTTGCGCTGCACCTGAGCAGGTGACTGGGGCTGCCCTGTGAGGGGCCCAGGGCCCGCTCAGAGACCGCCTTGAGATGTCCACAGTCCTGGCCCTGCAGCGGGAGGGGACTGGGGGTGGCAGGTGATGCTGGCTGCCCTGCCTTTGGTGTAATTTAGCTAGAGTGGACAGAGGTCGGGGAGCAGAGAGAGCCAAGGCCAGTGGGGGGCCTTCATGCCTGGGCTGTCTTCGCTGTGCCGTGTCCCTCAGCCACACGTACTGGCCAGGGCGCCAGCGTCAGCAGTCCTTCCGTCACAGGGTTTTCTGTTCCATTTTAAATATGACTCAACTGTGTAGACTTTGGTTCATAAACCTAATTTTTCTACCTGATGCCAGTCTCTTGGTACTTTGTCCCTTTAATGAAAATTGCTTAATGAGTTTCTGGGGTAAAACTCTTTCCAAGGAAGTTGCCAAAATTGAGTTTCTTTGCAAGGAGTCTGCCTGGGAGCTGGGCGACGTGCCCGGGACCCACTGGTGACCAAGGAACCAAACCTGTGTCCCTGCAGGTCTCTTTCCCATCTAGTCAGCAGGGTGGCTGGCCTGGGTGCCCTCTTGGGGCCACCGGCTCAGTCCACGACCTTCTGCCCTGTCCCAGGATGGAAGCTTGCAGTGTCCCTCCTGCAAAACAATCTACGGGGAGAAGACTGGGACCCAGCCCCGAGGGAAGATGGAGGTGTTCACGTTTCAGATGTCCCTCCCCGGCCACGAGGACTGCGGGACGATCCTCATAGTCTACAACATTCCCCATGGCATTCAGGTGAGGGGCACGGCACAAGAGGAGCCTCCTTGGATCTTTCTGGAATCGGCCTCTGAGGCTCTTCCTGTCCCACTCTGTCCTCCGGGGTCACTGAAGGTGTCCGCCTGCCCAGTCAGGCTCCCAGCAATCAGGAGGCACTCGTGCTGGGGGCTCCAGCCAGCCCTTAGAGTTGTGGAAGCAAAGAGATGGCCCCTGCCTTTTCTTGAACCAGAGAGGGCTTCCTGGAGGTGGAGGCATCTTAGCTGGACTTCTGCTAGGCAGAAGGCTCACAGGAGTCTAAGCAGGAGGAACAAGCACTTCTGTTCGGCTAGCTGGCTGGCTGGGGAGCCCGCAAGCAGGAACCCTCCCAAGGGGCAGAGCGCAGGGCCGAGAGCTGCCTGCAGTGAGGCTTGACCACTCTTGAGGGACCAGCTCAGTGGGCTGATCCAGACCTGTGTGGGGTGTGTAGGAGTAGGAACCTCAGCTGCAGGTCCCAGTGGAGACCCAGACGAGAGTCAGGGCTCCTTAGGTTTCTGCCTTGGACTGGGGGCTCTCAGCGTGCCCCCAGAGCCTCACTGGCTTGAGAAGATACAGGGTGACGGAGACCAGGAGGACAGGATGTCCCTTGATTTTGTCCAATTACATGCTTTCCCCTGGTTGTCCTCCAAAGTGACGTTGCGCTCAAAGTGAAACTGGGAAAATTAGAAACATCTAGACAGCAGTAGAGCCACAGAGCAGGTGGGGAATTTGGAGTTGTACGTGGTGTCACCATGGGCTGAGTACAGAGCAGGGGCTGTGCCTGCTGTTACACCGCGTGCCTCACGTAGTGCCTGGATATGCGGCCATAGAATATTTGGTGAACAAACATACAATCTCAAACCCACTTTGTGCTCCGCCCCCCTGCACTGTGCCTGCCTTTCGCCTGACCTGGTTTCTTTGCACCGTCACTCCCTTCCTGTCTCCCAGGTCCTCATTTCCAGCGGTTCCGTCATCCACTCGCATTGGCAGCACCTCCACCGCCTCTTACGGAGACCTCCATTGGTGTCAGTACTATCCCCCTGCGTCTGGAAGGACTGAAGGACTCTGAGACCCTCTCTAGGGACATCATGTCCACGATGTCAGCAAAAAGACAGGGAAAATCGGGGGTCTGGTCAACACGGGACACCCCTGGGTCTGGGTGGATGACTGAGGCCTCTTGAGGAAGGAGATAGATAGGCCCCAGGTTAGACACCTACAACTAGCCTCCTGTTGATGCTTTGAGACAAAGATAATAACAGGAATAGGATAAGCAGCTGGACTCTGTCTCCTGTGGGCACTTCAAGATAAAAGGAGTGGCTGAACAGAGAGG